TAACTTTATATTAATACACAAAACAATGCCTCAGTGGTTTGCTCTTTAATTTTTTCCACATTTTTAACTTTTTTTTTTAAATATTTCTACTTTTATAAATATGTGGTTTGGTTTATTTATTTTAAGCTTATTGATATCATATATAGCTAATGTAATGTATCATATATAGCTTTGTCACCCTTTTCCTATAAAAAAAAAATTTAATATTTATAGAGTGAATATTAATTTACACATTATATTGATCTAATCTACATTATATTGATCTTAAGGAGTCGTAGTAGCTCAAGGACTAAGCGTTCGCTGTAAATTTCACAGTACGCGAACAACCCGGGTTCGATCCCCGCCGACACCGATGAAATTGTTAATTGCAATTTTAAGTGTAGTGGCGGGTAAGAATACCCACTACCCCACATCTTCCCGTGGGTGTCGTAAGAGGCGACAGAGGGAAACTTAGGCGGAAGATGGGTAGCAGCATCTTTCTGATAACAGCAAAACTACAATAAAAAACTGCGATTGCCATGATTGATTAAAGTTACGAAGAGGCGGCCCCCAGTCGCCGGCGGCCCCGCTATTTCTTGCTACGGTGGCGACCATGGTAACGGCGGGGCAGGGGGGTGCTAAGAATATCCGGTGGAGGTTCGGTTGCCACCTAAGACGACTCGACCTGGCAACATATAACGCACTGTTATGTCCAACCCTAGTTAGTTAAAAGCGCTGACTCGATTATTAAGTGGCGAAGCTTGTGAAGTCACTTATTGATTTCACGATGTCTGTCCGTCTGTCCCACGATTATCTCGAGAACGGTTTTGAATTTTCAAATTCTGTTTTCAGCAATCGATTACTGGTCACCCAGGTATCTGAACCTCCTATTTTGAAACTGATTGTTCAACGGCAACCGTTAGAAACCGCTACAAAGCTGATTGCTTCGCCACTTTGCTATGTTGTTAGCTTGCTAGGTTTATTTTCTTTAGTATAAAAGCGTAGTGTTTGAGGTAATCGAGGCAGTGCAGCTCCAACCCATAATAATATTAAGTACATATCGCACACGCCGTTCGCGGCTTTTGTACACTTTTTGTATGATTTTAATATTGGGGAAATAAACCAAAGGAATTTCCGAGATTGGGTGTAAAAGTTTTTTTTAAAACACCTTCAGAGCGGCCCTCCTAACAGCACGCTCCCTGAGGACTGACGAGAAGATCCTGGAGCTGGAAGAAAAGATACTGAGAATCACCAAACGGTATTCGCTGAAGGTCATACAGGTTTACGCACCAACCTCGGCACATCCCGATTAGGAGGTGGAGAAAATGTATGAGGATATATCTAGAGCCATGCATTCCTCCAAAACCCACTATACGGTATTAATGGGAGACTTAAACGCAAAACTCGGCACAAGAGAGAACGGTGAGCTGAAGGTAGGGAAATTTGGAATAAGACAACGGAACCCAAGGGGCCAACAGCTGGCTGACTTCATGGAGAAAGAGAGACTCTTTATGATGAACTCTTTCTTGCAAAAGCGGCCCCATAGGAAGTGGACCTAGTCGAGCCTCGACGGTTCGACAAAAAATGAGATTGACTTCATTACGACGACCAGACGACAACTGTTCAGTGATGTCTCGGTGATCGCGAGGGTGAAAACCGGCAGCGATCACCGAATGGTGAGAGGCACACTGAACCTAAACGTTAAGTTGGAGTGGTCAGGTCTAATGAAGTCAACGCTCCGACCCCCTCATGCTCTAATCCAAAGTACCGAAACCTTTCTGCTCGAGCTAAAAAAACGTTTTCAGTGCCTAGAAGATTGCAATGCAGTGTACGATATGAATGACAAGCTCGTTGAAACTGTCCATGCGGTCGGAACTAAGTTTTGCAAGACCCGCCGCAGAATAACACAAAAACTCTCCGATCACACTCTTAATCTCATGGCTGTTAGACGAAAAATGAAGCTGCAGTCTTCAGTAGATTTGACAGTATACGGACAACTGAACAGACAGATCTCCAAATGTATGCGGCGGGTCTTACACAACTTTAATACTGCTCGTATTGAAGAAGCGATCGAGCGGAACCAGGGCTCCAAAGTCTTTGCTAGAGATCTGTCTGCCAGTAAGAGCCAACTGACGAAGCTGAAGACTGAGTGTGACAGCGTCGTTTCTGGGACACCTGATATTTTGAGTAAGATTGAGAGGTTCTATGGGCAGCTGTACACATCGTTGGAACCACACGCAAGTGTGAGTAACGATCCAAGAGCGAGTCTTATCCGACACTGTTCCGATGATATTTCGGACGTCGGTCTGAGCGAGATTAGAATGGCTCTCCTGTAACTTAAAAACGGCAAGGCCCCAGGCGAGGATAGGATTACAGCAGAGCTTCTGAAAGTGGGTGGAAAACCGGTACTTGAAAACCTTCAGAAGTTCTTTAATTTCGTCTTCCATGGTGGTGCTACACCGGAGGCTTGGAGTAGAAGTGCGGTGGTCTTGTTCTTCAAGACAGACGACAACGCTCTCTTGAAGCACTGCAGACCGATGTCCCTTCTGAACGGCTGCTGAAAGCGGTGCTGTTTTAGAGAGTCATTACGAATTTATTTATTTCATCATCTGTGGTACACATCGGAGGCAGATCTCAGCCTTGTTTTGGTCGTTCCTGTAAAAATGCATTACGCAGTAAGCAGGAGTGCTATCGGGCCTGGGCTGAGGCTTCGGCGGCTTGGGATGTAAACACCAGCATGCTTAAAAAGAAGTATAACTTCGCCTCCAGGTCCTTCAAAAGAGTTATTGCCAAGGCAAAGTCAGAGCACATAGGCAGAATTGGCGAGAAACTAGTTCGCCTTCTTTCGGGAACCCGTGCATTCTGGTCTCTCGCCAAGGCTGTCTAAGGGAATTTCTGTAAGCCATCACTACCATCTCTGCGCACAGGGAGGACGACTCACCGGCCCACGCCGCAAAAGAGAAAGCCGACATTTTAGGCTCCCTTTTAGCGTCCAACTCGACTCTTGATGACGGGGGAACACACCGCCAACCATCCCGCGGTGTGAGTGCTCCATGCCGGATGTGCGGTTCTCACAGCGCTCGGTTCGCAGAGCACTCCTCTCCCTGGACATCCACAAGTCGCGTGGGCCTGACGGAATCCCCCAATTGTGCCGAGGACGTGTGCTCCGGAGTTGGCACCGGTTCTAACGCGTCTTTTTCGGTACTCCTACTCCCTAGGCGTAGTCCCGAAATCATGGAAGACGGCTCTTGTCCACCTGATCCCTAAAAAAGGCGACAGCTCAGACCCGTCCAACTACAGGCCTGTCGCCATCACCCCCTTGTTCTCCAAAATAATGGAATCCGTTATAAACTGCCACCTCATGCGGTTCCTTGAGGATCACCAGCTGATTAGTGACCTCCAATACGGTTTTCGTCGGGGTCGATCAGCTGGTGATCTTCTGGTCTAGGTACTTGACTCATAGCTGGGCGGAGGCAGTAGAGTCCAAGAGGGAGGCGTTGGCCGTTAGTATGGACATTGCGAAGGTTTTCGATCGGGCAGTCATTCCGATACTGATAACAGCCCGTATCTGCTCGTATGTATAATAGTTCGCACAGCTGCGATGTTTTCAGGCGTGACCGCTATTCTTAGTCGACCTGCAGAAGAAACAGTGCTAAGCGCCACACGATCGCGTCGGAACTCGGCATACCAGCGGTATATTGTCGTTTGACTCGGTGCTTCAACATCATAATTCGAAACAAGTTCGCTGAGACCTGTATCTTGAGATAAGCCGCGACGAAAATTGTGATAAATTATGGCACGGAAATGTTCACGCGTGAGCTCCATTTCTGTTTACGACGTGTCAACTTTAAACCAACATAGTTTTTGTTTTTAAACTTTTTTTTTAATTGTTTGAATGTCATTAAGATTCTAAGAGGCCAGTATTCAAATTCTAAAAAAAGGTTTTATTGTAACTCAATCCGAAATATTCTATTCCCGATCATTTCAGTGTGCCCCTCGTATTATAGTATAGGGTGACAAACTAGCACACAGTCCACCTGATGGTAAGTGGGCGCTGTGACCCATAGACATCTACATCTATCCTCAATAAAAAATCAAAATGCAGATGCGTTGTCACCCGTGAGAACTAAGATGAAATGCCTCGTTTCCAGTAAAAAGGGTCTCCGGCTCTATACACTCACCATACGAAACACAGCAGCATTAAGCTACTATTTTACGCTGGTATTCAGTGAGAGCATTCTGTGTGTTGCATTCTGTCTTTCCCCGGTCGAGCGAACCATTGGTGCTACAACTATACTAGTAATATAGCTGCAGCATGGAAATTGCGATTAACAACAATTCTATTAGTGCTGGCGGAGATTGAACTCAGGTCCTCGCGTTCTTTAATCTTTAAGATTGTAGTTTTGTGTGTCTTAGTTGTTATAAAAGATATGGTACAACACATTAACCATTTCTGTAGTACATTATGAAGTGAAATTAAACAAAGAATAATTACAGACATTGAATAGGTAATAATAAACAAAAAAGCTAAGAAATGACACCTAAAAAACAATATATTTAATACTATTTGCACTATTACAGCACTAATATTTATAATTTTATGTCTCATTATAATATATATTATACGAGGTAGAGCCATGCAGCAGCTATATTAGTAGTATAGTTGTAGCACGAATGAGTCGGCTCGACCGGGGAAGTACCACGCTCTCACAGAACACCAGCGTTAAATAGCAACTTAACACTGCTGTGTTCCGTATGGTGAGTGTAGAGGACCGGAGACCCGTTTTACTGGAAAAGAGGCATTCCATCTTAGTCCTCACGGGTGACAACGCATCTGCATTTTCATTCGCAAACGAGGATAGATGTAGATGTCTATGTAATTGTCCACATATTATTATTTAAAAAAAAAAATTGTTACTACTTTCGTGTACTATTGTAACCTCAGCTACCAAGCCTTATTTGTTTCATGCTTTTATTTATAAAATGACTATTGTTTAAATAACTTTTATTTCCTTTTTCAGCGGTTAATAAACCAGACAATGCTCCAAAGTGATGATCTTACAAAAGCTGCTATCGCTCAAGCTACGAAAACAAAGACAGAATTCGACGACTTATAAAAATTTTTTTTTGCTTATGTACAGTACAGTGGTGTTATTATATTGTTATTTTATTGGGGATGGTGAACAGAAATATATTAAGTGTAAACAATTTTATTATATTGTCTAGTGTCTAATAGCATAATATTGCAATAAATACATATTAATAAATTATTTTTATTTCATTCCGTTCCCAAATTGACGTATTATACATGAATTGTATTTACATATTTATATAATTTGGTATTAATGCTATACATTTATAAATTAATTTAATTAAATCTTTTAAATATATTTAATTTATAACAAAACAATAAAATATATACTTAATAAAATTTTAATGAAATTGAATTAAACCTATGAGATTATTAGATATTTTTATTTTTATTTCACCTCTAAATTAAAACAACAACAACGTTTTGAAAACTTTCTTTGTTTATAATATGTTCCGATATAATGAAACTTTAAAAAATGCGTTGCCTGGTATTTAATATTTATGTTGCTAAATCTAATTAAGACTAATATGTTTAATACAAATAATTATTGAAATTTCAAAAATTTGCGTCGTTTTGAAAACAAAATTTTATTCTATAATATTGTTAATATGAAGAAAAAAAACGAAAAAGACCAATGCTTTGTATTTACATGCTACAACCAATTTAGAATAATATAATGCATACCAATACAGCAGTAAAATTAAATATTTAAAAAATATTTGATTTGGGCGATGTACCTAATACAAAATTCGAAGTTGACGTCACCGTTCGCAACTACGTCACTGTACCGCCTATTAACAAAGAAAATCAGGTAACCTACTTTACGGAGGCTGCATTTACGTTTGCAGCGAATGACCTGCCCAAATATAGAGCAGCTATAAATAGAACTGGGGGCTCGTATGCAAGTCGCCGCCTGTGAATGGTGCAAGCAACCTGCAACTAGAGCACTCTGCAATGATTTGACCTATTTATTTTTCAATGGGTCGAAGTATGAACGGGGATGGGCCCATTGCGAATATTCATTCAGTAACTGCCGAGCTGCCAAGCCTCGAACCCGACGTGACCCAGTTACAATTTTCGCTTACCGGTCTCCTTTTCCGCTTATTTTAAGGATTATTTAATATCAGAAATGCTTTTCAAAAGCTAGTTTCAGTGGTTCTTGTGCATTTCTAAAGTAAAAGTGTATAGATGAACTGTTTAAAAGTACAATAAATTTTTGATAGCAATCTCTAACAGTTTGAAAAGACCCGCGTCTTTGTTTTCTATCTTCGTAATATCGTCATTGATGGATAGTGGTTCTGCTGTGCTGTGATTGGTCGAAATAAGGCGGTATAAGTCACCAGCCAGTAGTGTCGCTAGATTTCCAAACCGGTGTGCGATAAGCGCGCCACCTGTCGCTGGAACACATTTCATTCATTGAATACCCGCCCGGACTGCTACATTGACGCACGCGCATTGAGGCCCAACAAAGGGCCGAAATAAGAACGGTTTGCAAGTGTGTCTGATGTATTTATGTCATAAAAATGGTGAAATCTGTGAAGTGGAAAGTGGAAATTAGGATATTCGAGGTGTCGAATCATGACAGAGGCATCTGAAAAGTAAGTGGTGTAAATGTTACTCAGTAATAGTAATGCGTGATATGCCCTGTTAGGTAGGCAGGGTCCCTACCCCGGCCATTTTCAGGAAATCGGGCTGTGTATGTCAATTCTCTATATTTCCACGTTACTAGACAAATGCCTACACCATCTTTTAATCATGAACAGTTTTATAAAACAATGAATTTAATATACCTAAGCTAACGTATGTGACCGCCGCCCTTAGGTCACCCTGTGTGGTGTATAGATATTATAATCAATGACTCCTAGTTTCATTCACTATAAAGTAGCAACTCCTTTCGGGGTCATTTGATGCTAAGCCCCTATCGAGTTGTATCGCTCAATGAATAAAGCGTTTACACCAATTGCTATGCGACCAATGACGTACGAAATATTCCGCGAGAATAAAAAAATACTTGAATGAAATTTACATTATGTGCATTATAATTAAAAGATTTTATTGTGAGAGTTCTAAATTCTTATAACCATAAAAACCAATAGTTTTGTTACTTATTCTAAAATAACAAAAAAGGCGTTATTTACTCACAATTTATCTAGTGGAAAATAAATATCGTAATTAAAAAAATATATTGCTAATTTATTGTATTATATTAATATATTGTAAATTAGTCACAAGTCAACAGCAGACTATTTTCCGCAACTAAAAGACAACGCATGTATTTTGTATTTATTGTACATTGTAGACATGTAAACCTCTTGAAGCAATTCAGCAAACCTTTGACAGAACTGACAACCTCGGGACACCGAGAATATTAACCTCATATTTAGACAGCTCAGCTTAACTATGTCTGCAGTATCTTCTTCCCTTATCAATACTCTGCACTGGGAACTCTCTTTGTAACACATATTGTTATAGGTAATTTAAAATTAAAAATTTTGTACAACTGACTCCAACATTAATTATTAAGAATAACTCAAAAACTATTGGTCAGACCTTGATAAAATTTATGTGGGACCACATGAGAAGCACCAGCTTTCAAATAAAAAAATTATCTTCGAAAACGGTTCACCCAGAAGTTATGAGGTAACACATTCAAAAAAATCATACAGTCAAATTGAGTACCGTCTCATTTTTGAAGTCGGTAGAAAAGATATGCGACTAATTTATGTCTCAAAAGTCAAAGTTTTTTTTATTAAATAATGCTGTGCATTTCAATTTTATAACTTAAATTGATGTTGGAAATAGTACTATATAATGCATTGTACCTTATATATTATTAGAATCTGCTAAACATTGATCATTTATTTATCTATCTAAACATTGATCATTTTATTAGCAATTCATTTAAATATTTGGGAACGGTGTGAGTATAGTCAAGGAATATTGTTATTTAGTTTATATATAGATCACATACATTTAGGTACACCTTAAAATACAACTACTTAATAATGATGGTTAGGCCTTTGCAGGCATCTTAAATTTCTTTATTTTAAGAATCGTTATAATTTTCATCATTGTCATAATCATTACAGCCTTTTACAAGTCCACTGCTGAACACAGGTCTTCCATAAAGAGTGCCACAAAGCACCTTCCTGAGCCACCTGCATCCATCGACTACTATAAAACACATAAATAGATGTTTTGTTTCATATTCCATGTAGTGGTGACATATATGACCAATATAGTAATGGTATAAGTGCTAACGGAAGGAAATGGAAAAAGATAATGTTTAGTGTCCTCCCAATAACAACTCAATAATAATAAAAACTGTGGTTGCCAACCTGCCTGCCAAGCATGGCAACTGTGGCAAAAATTTCTTGTGAAGGGCTGCAATTAAAGAATTAAAAAGTGGAATGTATCTTATTGTATAATATTTTATGATAGGTACTTTATTTTTCATAAGCCTGAAATTGTACCTATTACTGTCCTGTGAGAAACCTAAAGGTAGACTGGTAAAGAATGCTTATTATTGTTAATTCCACCTAGTTATATGTCATATTTGTGCAATAACTTTTAAATAGAAAAAAAGAAACATGAATACATTATAATTTTATAATAATTGAGAGATGAATTTTTTTTTATAGGATAGGGTGACAAACAAGCACATAGTCCACCTGATGGTAAATGGTTGCTGTGGCCTATAGACATCTATATTTACCTTTCTCGAATAAGAATCAAAATGCAGATACGTTGTTACTACTGAACACTAAAATGGAATGCAGCTGCTAGATTACGTTAGTATTACGAGCATGTGAGAGCGTGGTCCTTCCTCGGTCTAGCCGACTCATTCGTGCTACAACCATAATATAGTTGCATGCCTCTTTTCCAACAAAATGGGTCTCCGGTTCAACATCCATGGTCTTAGGGGCCACTAAGGTTTTATCCTAATGTTATTAATAGTTTAACCTGTACATGTAATTAATTCCACGTGTTAGAGCCATGCTGCAACTATATAAGTGGTATAGTTGTGGTACAAATGGGTCGGCTCGATCGGGGAAGGACCAGTCTCTCACAGAATACCAGCGTAAAATAGCATCTTAACACTGCTTTGTTTCATATGGTGAGTGTAGAGAACTGGAGACTCTTTCTACGGGTGACAACGCATCTGCATTTTGATTCTTGGTTGAGGATAGGTGTAGATGTCTACGGGTCACAGCAACTACTTAATAACTATTTTGGTTTGATCTATGCTGATCGTATTGAATCCTAGTAGCTGTGTATACCTTGGTATAGATTCATATTAGAGAACCGGAGACCCTTTTTACTGGAAAAGAGGCATTGCATCTTAGTCCTCACGGGTCACAACGCATCTGCATTTTGATTCGCAAATGAGGATAGATGTAGATGTCTATAGGCCATAGCAACCACTTACCGTCAGGTGGACTGCGTGCTTGTTTGTCACACTATCCTATAAAAAAAAATTCAGACCCGGAAACATTATTTACCATATATACATCTGCTCCGTGTGAGATTCAAACTCGATGCTACTAAGCTGTCAAAGGCAAAAAAGCAGTCTCTGACGTAATATTGCGACTAATTAACTTACGTAGTATTACGCACATTATCGAGTAAGACGTTTTCTGTCGACTTCCAAAAAGGAGACGGTACTCAATTCGACTGTTTTTTTTATGTGTGTTACCTCATAACTTTTTACTGGGTGAACCGATTTCGATGATTCTTTTTTTATTTGAAAGCTGGTACTTCTCCTGTGATCCCATGTGAATTTGATCAAGGTCAGAACAATAATTTTTGAGTTATTCTTAATAACTTATAATGAAGTCGGCTGTACAATATTTTAAATTTTAAATTATTCCTTTAAAAACTGAGTACCTCTTCTAAATTGAAGAGGCCGGTATGAAATTTTGTGGAGTAGCATCCGCAGCCAGTTGCTTAACCACGTATACGTGGTAGAGCCACGCTGCAGATATATTATGGTTGTAGCACACGAATGTGTCGGCTCGACCGGTGTAGGACCATGCTCTCACAGAATACAAGCATCAAATAGCAGCTTAATAATGCTGCTGTGTTTAGCATGGTGAGTAAAAAGAATCGAAGCGTCAGTAGCCTAATGGCAGGGCGCGGACCGCGAACTCGAAAGGTCGTGGGTTCGAATCCGCCATTCGACTATTGTCGTGAACCACTTCTAACACAAGCATTTTAATCTTACCAGAAGTGGTTAAAGGGAATATTAGTAATGTTTAATAGCATTACTAGTATTAAAAAAAAGAACCGGATATCCTTTTTACTGAAAATGAGGCATTTCATCTTAGCCCTCAGGGGTGACAACGCATCTGCATTTTGATTTTTAATCGAGGATATGTTATAAACTATGTCTATGGGCCACAGCATCCACTTACCATCAGATGGACTGTGTGCTCGTTTATCACGCATATTCTATTTAAAAAAAAACATATATTATTATTCATAAACGTATTATATTATTGATTAACAAATACAAATAAATGAATTACCAGCGTCTACTAAAATGAATCCTCACTTAAAATATTTATTTCATGGCAAGATAAGAAAAGGTGCGAGGGATATGGATATTATTCCATCTCGCTTCCTTATAGCCGCCAAAGCCGTCTACACTAAGTCAGAAGGGGTCGTGACAAAAAAATCTTACACTTTTTCTCACCTAGCCCCCATCCGCCAAATTCGTACCGTCCGATAAGGAACTTTCTTCCAAAAATCCCAGAGCCATCAAAGTTAGATAGCCTTAAATTTCATGGTCTGTCTCGCTGTCTATATTAGATACTGTTTACAATAAGAAACAATTTTCACCCGTGCGTGCACTGACAGCGTCATTGCACGCACGGGTTTGGTTTCCAATGACGCTGGTCAGTTTATTTTACCAATATAAAACGAGCACACATTTTTTTTTAATTGAAATTACACAAACTTACATTCCACCTGAAGGTAAGTGGCCAGTACAGCCTACGAACACCTGCAAACAACTTCAAATAAAGAAGGTTATTATGAAAAAAAAAAACTATGTTACAGGTCACCAGGGCCACCAAACATCTTATTATGGTAAATGCTACACTATTTCAACGATATTCAAGTCACACATTACTGCACAATCATTGAACCCTACCTTAAACCTAATTCGATAAAATTCTCCCGGTCAGATTCGGTTACGCAAACTTCCGGTTAATAACTGTCTTAACGGTCCGACTAAAGGAAGTTTCACTCAGTGAACGGCAAGGCGACTGTAGTGGCAATAATTTGCGTTTAAAAGTTTTTTTGATTTTGTCTAATATTTAAGTCAGAGTCACAGTTAAACATTCCATAGAGTAAGTAGAGGATATATTTGATTGTTAACATTAATCTACATGTTAGGAAAAAATGACGGTAAAATATATTTTTATGATTTCTTTTCGATGATTCTTTTTTTATTTGAAAGCTGGTACTTCTCGTGTGGTCCCGTATGAATTTGATCAAGGTCAGACCAATTTTCTTTGAGTTATTCTTAATAACTTATATTGAAGTCGGCTGTACAAAATTTTTAATTTTAAATTAATTATTAAGATTTTAATAA